TCGACCAATTTGGAGTCTTTTTGTTTTTGGGTTATGCTTCATGTTCCGGAAGAAACATGGACGTGCCGTTTGTCTTTGGCTGCAACCATACTCAAGCTTTCCTTTATGTTTAAGTGACAATAGTATGATCCTTCCCATCGAAGTCCCAAGACCATGAGGGGACTTAAAAGTAGCCTAAGTGTTGGATCCACTATTTTAAAACTCGGTGGCCTAGATTGGGAATCATTTATCTAGATTAGAAATGGTCTAGACGGATCCAGTTCCTTGTCAGAACCAAAAATCATTATGATACCTGTAGACTTATTCGGTTACATTAAAAAATTAGGCGAATCTATTAGTGAAGAAGCAATCCAAAAAGGGCGGATCACTTAATTCTCACACATTATATAATTAATTAGTTTTCCCTTTTTGGCCTTTCTCCAAATTTTTATTTAGACCGCGGATCACCTAATTCCCACACATTATATAATTAATTAGTTTTCCCTTATTGGCCTTTCTCCAAATTTTTATTTAGACCGATTCTTACAATGGAGTGGGTCCAATTCCCCAATGTAAAATGATGATCCACTGACCTGGACCAACTCTAGAAGGCCGGTTTACCCAACCAATAAAGACCGGTCGAATCCAGTATAATAATGGATGGGTGGGGCAGATGAGACAGAGTGACAAAGCTGCAAAAGCTGGGGCACTCATTCATGAGAGAGAAATTTTTTGGAGCGGATGTTCCCATTTATGTCGCTTAGACATTTGCAGTGTATCAAGGATGATCAGAAAATTAAAGAACTTTACAGGAATTGATCGTCGTACTCTTTTGGTGGTTTGCATTTTTGTGTGGTGATTTCGAACTTTGTAGCATGGCTGATATACTGCAACCTGATTATTCTGCTTTTGTTTCCACATAAGTGTGAATAAACATTTGTCCCTTGTCAAAGTGTGAACAAACATTCGTTTGTTTGCATCCTGTGTGGATAGACATTTTTTCTTAATGTTTAGCTTTTTTTTTCCAACATCCGTATGCAAAAAGAACTTTTAAATGGATCTTATTCGAGTGCAGTCTTCTTCCAAAAATTTATGTTAAGATATGGTTTAAAGACATCTTCATAACTCCGTATTTTTTCTTTAGATCTGCTCTTAAAGATCAAAGTAAATAGTAATGAACAGTCTAAAAATTAAGTTTATATAAAGTTGCATCATTAAAATGTAGAATTAAAGATGCATCTCTAAAATCTATTGGAAAATGTTATTTGAATTTGAAAAACCTTCTAATCGATCATCTCGTCTTCGAGATGTATGAATATGAAAAAAAAAGAAAAAAAAAGATTTTGATTTCTAAAAATAGTGCACCTTGCAACACATTATCTAGATCATACATTTTCAAGATTTCATATGTTTATAGATCTACTTGATTTTAACTATTTTTAAAGCTTAAAATTTTATAATTAGAGAGTAAAATAGATTTTTATATAATCCTAAGAATTTTTAACACCAAATATACATGTTACGATAAAATTTGAAGGTGTTAATTGAATTGTTTAAAGTTGCAACCCTATGCAAACCACACCCAATCTTGAAAGCACAATCTTTTTCTTAAATTTATCATCATAGTGGTTTAGATTATGATTTGGTAAAAGTTTAACCCTGAATCTCATATGAAAAATGAGACTGCATTTGAAGCTGTGCATTATATAGCAAAACCGATCTTCGAAGCGTTATGGATCCTTTCTTTTTAAATTTAATCCCAAAACTTTTAATGCTACAAAGAGTTTCCATTTTTTTGTGAATTTTTTAATTTCCAAAAGTACTCCTAATTCAAATTAAATTTCAACCTGTTTTTCTTTTCGTTTTTAAGAGGCAGTTAACTCTTTAGGTGTTGAATTGGCTTCTATTAATAATCTAGAAGCTAGTTTGACCGATGGTTGAGAGGCAATTACTAGCTCCGAAAGATATTTTGGAAAGTTGAATGTATTTAAATTTTTTGGAAAGTTGAATGTTTTGTTTTGAAAAATTTAAATAAGCTCTGGGTATTGTGTTTGATAACTTGCTGGAATGTAATGGGTATTATGTTTGATAACATATACATATTAACCATATAATATAATACAATATAATATAATATAATATAATATATTTTATATATTTTATTAATGTATATTTTTATATTATATAACATATAATATAATATTTATTCTTATATATATATTATATTTTATATATAATATATAGTATAATATAAGATATTTAT